TTATGTTGCTTCATCTTTCTCCTTTAGTTGCCATGGAAACAGAGAAAGGCTAGAAGTACAATGAGTGGGCAACTTCATTCTTCATCTAACCACGGAAGCTAGGGTCAATGATGTAACAGTCACACATTATAATAGCAGGCGCACATGATGACTAAGATGCGTTCCTACAAACTTATCAATTCATCTTTCTCCTTTAGTTGCCATGGAAACAGAGAAAGGTCAAAAGTCCAATGAGTGGGCATCTTCATCTAACGATGTAAGCTATAGGGCTGTGCACAACAGTGTAATGAGGTACCCGAGTACACTCCCAGGCTCACAGGCGAATACTCGAGTATTCGGACGCCATGTTTTTTTATAATTTTTTTGAATTTTTTTGAATTTTTTTGAATTTTTTTGAATTTTTTTGAATTTTTTTGAATTTTTGGATTTTTGGATTTTTTTCATTTTTTTTCTTTTTTTGCCACTACCGTACCACTCGGCAGTTTCTCAGGTCCCTCGCGCAGCTCGCTGAAAACGCATGCAACTTTACTTTGAGTTGCAGTTGAAGGCGCCGATTTAATAAGAATAATAACAGTAAACAATGCTGTTTTAAAAACCAAAGATGGCAGAATAATCCATTTTCCTCCAAGTCCAAACAGAAATCTGGACATTTGGTCCCAGTTTCTGAAAGGTGAGTTTGACAGTGCTTGAGTTTGGAAACATTTTTACCGACGGTACCATGCCAGCGGATGCTGCTCTCCCTGGCACGGGTAAGCGTGGGCCTGGACATTTTTTTTTTTTTGCGGCCGAATATTCGGGTACAAGAAATCGTACCCGAGTAGTTGTCAACCGTGCGGGTACTCGAGCATTCGACTACCCGTCGCAGCCTTAGTAAGCTAGGGTCCATGATGTAACAGTCTGTCACAGCATCATCCTCAAAATAGCAGGCACACCGTATGACTCAAGATGCGTTCCTACAAATTTAGTAATTATTCAACATCAAAAAGCTTTACATGTAGTCAGCATGACGTGTTGTGCGAATCATTATTTCATCAATCACAAATAATGCACAGACAGTCAGACACCAACCTGAATCCTACTGAATATTCTAATACCCATAGGCTCTATACAGTGAAGGACCACCTGATTCCTGTAGGCAATGGGTTCATTACTGAGAATTAATCATAATTAGGCCTGACAAGAAAGGAATTACTTGTTTGTTAGTCTATCTCATTGAAATGAAGAGAGGGGTAGAGGGGGTAGAGAGGGGGAGAGGGGTAGAGGGGTAGAGGGGGAGAGGGGTAGAGGGGGAGAGGGGGTGAGGGGAGGGCGAGAGGGCGAGAGGGCGAGAGGGCGAGAGGGGGGAGGGGGGGGGAGAGGGGGAGAGGGGGAGAGGGGGAGGGGGAGAGGGGGAGGGGGAGAGGGGGAGGGGGAGAGGGGGAGGGGGAGAGGGGGAGGGGGAGAGGGGGAGGGGAGAGGGGAGAGGGGAGGGGGAGAGGGTGAGAGGGGGAGAGGGGGAGAGGGGAGAGGGGGAGAGGGGTAAAGGAAAGAAAGAAAGAAAATGAGATATGACAGAAAGAGAACAAAACAATATTTAAAAAACAGACAACTTACCAAACAGACAGAGACAGTTATATAATGGGAAATGAAAAACAAAAACAAAAAATATATCCAATATATATTACAATGTATATATATTTTGTTTGATAACAACAAAAAATGGAAAGGCCTGGAGGCAGTAGAGCTATGTGTTTGTCCAGCAGAATTTTAAAGCTTTATCCACTTCATGAACTACATGTATCCACTTTGCTTCAACCACATTCAGAGTATCGAAAATCAATTCAGTAACTGTATGCAAGCCTAATATTATCTTTATTCCAAAATGGGTACAATGATTATTTATTATCATACCACAATCCAGGAGGTTTGTGTTTATTTTTAAAACCCTGAAGGAATTTGGCACTCATGCCATCACTTTTATGAGGAAGTGCTTTTAAACCATATCCTCTTATATTAGTTTTAAATTATAATTAGAGACTTTAAGGTACTATGTCCCTTTTGCAGCCAACCTCAAATTCTGTAGAACTTTGCAGGAATTATGAATACGCCATGTATGTCCTATCTGTGAAATTTAAACGTTAGCAATGTCCTCCTATTCAAATTATGCAAGGAAACCCGTTTACTTGCTAGACTTCACTGTCAGACACTATTGAGTGACTGACTGGCTTTTTTTCTTCTTTGGTAATAACATACATGAAAAGAGTGGTAAAGGGTACATGAGCATTTGTCTACATCAATAACCCACTTCTTGTGATGGCCATGATTAAACTGATTGAATCTTTGCGCAGCATAAAACGTATGACAATTCGGTACAATTGTCTGAAAATCAAGACTATTACTTTTGGGCTCTATAGCCCTAAAGTCGATTGACAATTAATAGAGGTCTAGTCGTAATTTTCCCACTTGAAGACATTTTCAAGCCCCACCTTTTTTAGGGAAGTTCTAAATTAGTTTTATCTTTCAAATGCAGTTGGAATTTAACTTTTTCATTTTTTGGGCCTGCAAATGGGACATACATGTAGTACCTTTAATCAATACAGGTTGATAGTAGGCTTACATAATTTACATGTATGACTTGTGAGAAACTTATGGAACTACATATTTTCTAAATGAGTATTTTTTAATTTTTTTCCCCCCTTTTCCTTTGATTTAGGCACATCTGCTACTCAGATTTTGGAAGGAGATGGAGAACCCAAAGCAATAGGCCTGGAACCAAAGTAAAGTATTTGGCCTACATGTACTTATGATTTGAAGATATACTGTCCACGTACATGTATCTTAAGATTAACACTTCACAGATTCTATGAAACCTTGTTAAAACGAATAATTTTCAAGGTGTTCAATTTAGGTGAATATAAAACATATTGTAACTTTTTGTCCACCTGGACTTGACTTCTGTGATGAGTGAGTTGATGCATTGGTAGGCCTAAAGTAAAACTCATGAGACTTGAGAAGTTGAGAGAAAATGTTTTTCTTAGTTTTTCTTTGTTTGTTTGTTCCATTATTTCATCAACTTCTCTGAAACAGGAGGTAGGGAGAAGCATTGTTTTTTCAATTTTAAGGAATCTAAATTATTGAGTCATCAAAGTTTCATTCATGCCCCACAAAACCAGCAAAGGGTGAATAAACTCTATGGCATTTCAGTTACCTTTAGTACTTCAATTTGAAGAAGAAAAAAGTCACATTCTCTTGTAAAGTCAAGTATGTTCTAAGAATAGCATAGATCCGCTAACCTTTTCCTCTACCCCAGGCCAGACTACAAAGAAAGCCACAGTGGTAAATGTGGACAGTGCAATAAAAGTAGGCCTCCTTGGCAGAATTAGAACTGGGGTCAGAGTTCGACTGGTCTGACCCTTCTTGGAATTTCTACCTTTCTCTTCTCCCTCTCAACCCCAAGGATAAAGAGTTATTACTTTTTCCCCTCCTTGATGTAGTAGCCAGATAGTTGAAATATTTCTGTGTTGTACAGGCCCTGGTATACCTTTCAGACTGTATTTATGGTTATGCATCAGACTGAGTGTCCCATAGCAGAATACTGTGGGAAGACGCCAATCCAACAGATACAGACATTCCTTTTAAAATATCACTTTTGTATAAAGGGACATAAAGATGTATTACATAGGCCTGTAGACACCATTCTTATTTTTTATGAAACAATTTGATTCCAAAAGATTATTATAGCATTTAAATCAGTTGCATCATTTGTTTTTTGCAATCAATTCAGGCAGGGGAAGAAGGCCACTTGAAACAATCAATTACAAAAGCATGAAAGGGACAAATACAGCATTGATTGTATACATTCCCTACCCCCTCCCCCTCAAAAAAATATTGATTATTACATGAACAAAGCTGCTTGGGTCTATGACACTATGGCTGGCATTGCAATTGCTCTCTCGGACAGTAGACTATTATACTTATAGAGTCCACAATAGATGACTGATTGATGTCTCTTTTGACAGTTGATCAGTTTACAGTCGGCCTAAAGGCATGTGCTGTCTGCAACTAGTCAAATTATGTTATTAGCTCTCACGTTGCACTGACCATGCCAGACGGAAATGGGGGGGGGGGGGGAGGTGTCGGCCCTTAGGCAACATATTTGCAATTACAATGTTCAGTAGTTGTGGGGTCATGTTGTACTAGAGTCACATGCTGTGAAACGAAATGGAGAAAGATTGTTGCCTGGAACCTTGACAAGTAACAATCCTTCAAAATGAACAATTTTCATAATGAATAATTGAATACCATATGGACCTGCTCTGCCCCCCCCCCCCCTCCAACAAAAAACCCACCTATATTAATGATAAAGGTTTATTGGACCCTTACATAATAACTTACGTCCATTATGTCTTTATGATTTAATGGAGCAAATACCTGGTAGTGGTATTTCAAATGCTCTTGTAAATTTAGCAACTCAATGTTCTTACTAATTTATAATCTTACTTAAATGGCCAAGTATCGTTAAGACACTAGGCCCTAACTACAAATTTAAAATGCACAGAGTGGATTTGGCGTGATATAAGTTACATTATTATTATTATTATTATTATTAAAAATAATATTAATAAACCCAGAGCATGAGGTGCACACAAAAAAAGTGAACCATGGACCTATCTAATTATTTATGTCCATTATAAAACCAAGGAATTGATCAGATTGATTTTTCATCCAACAGACGTCACATGCATCTATGATCTAGTGCTTTGCCGAGTCTGTGTTGTGTTAGGGTCCATGCACGTGCACGAACAATGTGGAAAACACAATCTGTCATTGCGAATGAACTTCAGAGTAAGTTCAGGGGTCATATGTCACTCACACACTCCTCCTCAACCAGACAGATACTCACATGGACACGCTCTTTGTTCAACAGTCAATCTCTCTAAACATAACCCACGCCACGTGCACGCACGTTTAATTAAAAGACAAATCAGTGCAGTATGGATAATGGAGATGATGATAATTACCTCAGCTCCTCCCGTTCCAACAAAGGTTTCCTTTGGTGCTGCCCCCGTAACCTTCCCCGAATCGTCCACGGCAGACCCACCATTCTTGGTCATGTCATATGATTGGTTCTTCTTGCTAAATATTTTCCCCATTTTGTCCTCTTTAGTTCTCCTTCCACTGTAGAAATAGCTAGCTTTGACAGCTTACTCCGATTATCACCATTTGATGTCGTTTCGTTATAAAAGAGTCACTATTCTCGCACGTGTACTACCGGTAATAAATCCGTGCAGTTTCTCCTCGCATCAGCTACAATGCGCTCTTTCACAAATCACGGTTTGCCGGTCGGATCCTTTGTAAAAAATATCTCACCGTTAAGTGTATTTTGTCTGTCTCTTTAGGCTCACCCCACGTGTTTATAATCCCACAGTCCGTTTAACAAGATCTGTTATGATGTCCCTAATCTCATCCCCTAAAACACGAAATTAATCGCTTCCTTTTGAGACAGGTTTCCTCACAACGCGATGACATTCAGCGACCTTCTTCAACAATATCCGTGCCAGTCGTTATGAAATCGCTGTTGGCGGCGCGGCTGGTAGCGCTAGTTGCTCTCGATCTCTAAGCTCTGCTGGCGCTTGTTCGCGGAGCAGGCGCGTGTCGGGGTAGTGGACCTACAACTTTAGCCTTGACCTGTCAAAGGAGCTCTGTTGAATCCGTCGGTATTTTAAGCTCCTTTGTGTAATCGGAATATAAATATTGAAAGTGAAAGTCCATTGTCATTGCATGACTGAGTCTGAGTGATGTATACCCTCTTAAAACGAATCACTGAAAAAATAAAGTAAGAGCATGGAGTATAATTTATGGTAAGATTGATCCGTACATCTATCATTGCGCCAAATCTGTTACGCAATCCTTAGGTCATCGATTCCGGTGTCCATGAAGTATGATGAGTTGCATGATTTGCATCTACCATACCGCACAGAGTACTTATTTTAATTACAATAAAGATTCGCCATCAGAGCGCTTTAAAGGACTTCAATGAGCTCCAGTGATTTCTTTGTTAAGAAAACGCCTACAGAATGTCGAGGATGTCTCTTTTTTTAATTCGGGGGGGGGGGGGAGGACTTTTAGGCGTATTTGTATACAAAACAAAAAGAATTTAACTATTTTCTTTTTGTTAAAGAAGACAAAAATACGGGGCTGGAGTATCTTTCCTGAAAGAAAATAACAACGATACAGCGCAGGAGCCATGCATGCAAGAGGAGGTTGGCGCAGATGTCCCCCCCCCCCCCCCTCCTCCCTTCAGATCCCGCCATGTAAAAACAAATTAAAGGTGTAACAGAATTAAAGAAATTGTAATTCTGAGAAGCACTGTATACCTACAGGCTGTGCATTAGACTGTCTTGTCTCAGACAGTGATCGCGCCCTTGTTTTTCTTTTACATTTTGTGTAAGACCTAATAAATCTGTGATGGCACCTTTCTTACACGACGATCCGATTGATTGAGCCAAATAGTTTCTTTCTCTGTGCTCATTGCTCTATAGTTTACAGACTTGATTTTAGATTAACTTATTGGTTTATTTATTTATCACTTATCCATCTATTTATTTGTTCTTTTATCCATATTTATTTACTTATTCATTTATTCGTTTGATTATTCATTCATTTTTATGTTGGTGATTGGCAAATTTGAGGACCGGACGCGAAAAGTACCCCTTTAATAATATACCGGAGATTTGGGGAACACGAATGCGGTCCCTCCGACCCATGAGTGGGGGAGGGGGCGGGGAGGGGATATAGGCATTGTGTGGTATGAGGAGGGGGGGCACCTGTCTCACTCGAAAAATGATGTGCAGCTAAAATACGAGGCCCATGATTATACAGGGGAAGGGTGTTGGAAGGGAAGGGGTCTTGTCGACTTCTTTCCTCGTCCCTTTCCCATTTCTCGCTAATTGTCCATTGTTTATTCATCTTCTTTCTTTTCTATGACATTCGATGGGGAGGGGGCACATGACCCCAAAATGTGCACTCCCCCTTAGCTACACCATTGTTAAAGGTAAAGACCAGTATTGGAAACGCCCCAATTTCAAAAAACGAAATGGAAGCTCTCATTACCAATCATGTGAAAGAATATGTTTTGACTAATACATGATGATAAAAAATTTGCCGGGAAACCGCCTACTAATTCATATATTTGGTAAATTTGTTTCTCTCATGGACTGTGAGAGATATAGGGTAGTCCCATATACATCTTTCTGTGTATAGTGCTTGTAACTTTACGAAGAATGGGCCAAATTTCTTATCATTTTGATGATTGCAGAACCTTGCAGATGCTAGATGCTAGATGATCAACCATTTCTGATCGATTCCACAACGTTTCTTTCACAATGCAATCGCATGACCATAACTGGTCTTTAACTTTAATTGCAAAATGACGAGATCCTCACTTTAAAATCATCGATAATTATACACGTACTGTCGGCAGTATACTATAATCCTTGATGAAATGCAGCACTCTATTTCTATAAGGCAATGAGCAATGAAGGAGAAGGGGACAAAGTGAAATGATAATAATATCCTCATGATTCTGCATCCAATGTAATTATGAGTTATTTGATATGTCTTGCCTGTAACGTCTAACCAAATCTATCCATTTTTGTATGTAATTATGCTGTTGTCGTTGTTGATTATGTTGTCGTTTTTCAATGAAATATTTATTGTTGCTATGCACATTAATTTTCTCAAATAGTTTAAGTATATAAAATATTTAGGATATATCAAAAAATACGGGAAGAATTTGAATCATGACCAAAACGGTGCAGTGTGCATACTGAATTACATATTATGAGTCAACTAGCGTATGACCGCAAACAGTAAAGGGGTGGGAGGGGGAGGTGTGCCACTTTATATATCAGCTTCCAAGACAGGAAATGTTAATTTTGAAAGTTTGTTTAACAAGATTAAAAATTCAACAAGGACATGTGTTTATGAAACTCGGAAGGCCGCTTTGTGTCAAACTTCGTTTACTAGTACATGACAACGCAGTTTGCACTGTAATGATAAATTTTGTTTCTCATGTTTGAACAAAGAATTTCACTTGTATAAGTGAATCTGCAACCTTTAGTTAGTGACGTGGCCACGTGGGTACAGTGCCCCGGTCTTCACCTGGTGGCTGTCTTATTGCAACATGATCGCAAAAAACTATATAAAACTTTAAATAGCCATATATGTTATACTTACTAAAATACGCAAACATGAAGATAACATTTTACGTCATGATTGTTTCAGATAATACCATAATGTATTGGAATGTCACTTAAATTGATTTCTTGAAACATTTTGCGATCGTGTTTTGGGAGGGGTGTCAGGAAATATTGTTAACATAGAATGGCTTCAATTATGAACTCCATTTAATTATAATACATTGTGTCTGTAAATCATTCTACCTCCCCCTTTTTCCTCAAAAGAAGGGGTGAGATCACCATTACCATGATCGTTACGCAATAGTGATGCCAACACACTCGAAACCTTGTGAAAAGGCAACTGTCATTATTGGCATCTAGATAAACTATTCATCAGATGCAGTATTAAGGTGATGCCAATTAAGTGATCAAGAGCTTCTGTAAAAATTCCATTCCCCACAATGGCGTAGTTACGGGGGCACGTTCCCCACCCCCCCCCCCCCCCCCCAGACGCGAATCCAGGATTTCTTAGGGTTGGAGGCCCTTGGGGGGGGGGGGGGTAGTAAGCACTAATTTTATTTTTGTTTGCCCTCGAAAATATGAAAATTTGCACCCCCCCCCCCCTTGAGCGCCAGGGGGGCCCAACTCCCCCAAAAAGATAAAATTAACGTGTTTTTACACGTTTTGTTTCCCAGGGAGGCCCCCCCCCCCCCCACAAGAATGACAAAAGTAAAGTTACAATAACGGAAGAAATTTTGAAGCGGGAAAGAAAAAGAAGGGGGAAATAGCAAGGAGACATGCAAGAAGATAAGAACAAGCCCCTTCCATACCAACTGCACCTCCTTTTTGCCTGTTTTCTCGTATTTCATCATCCTATCAAGACCGGTGGGTGCACCCCCGTGACACCATGTAGTCCATACAACTAACACAACTACTGTCCATCAATAATTCTCGAGAGAGGGTGGATTTAAAAACATAGTTTGCGTATACGCTGTATAATAATAATAATAATTATATGTATTATAATCGCTATTCATTAGTGTGGTTATTATCTTTATCTTTATGATCATTCTTCTTCTTATTATTATTATTAATAATAATAATAACAATAATGAAACATGTGAAAAATACAATAATGCGTAGTGCTAAATCTAACACTAGTGTCATATCATATGACACTAGTGTTAGATTTAGCACTACGCATTATTGTATTTTTCACATGTTTCATTATTGTTATTATTATTATTAATAATAATCTTTTCAAAATGAACGAATTTTTGTTCACTTTTCATCAAAATGTCATCAAACTGATTCCTTGATTTTTCTTTCACATCTTCACACACTACCACCCACATTTCTAACTTATCCTCATTAAACTGTGTTAACGAGGATAAATTTATCTTCATTTAACAGCTAAATGAGGATAAATTTATCTTCGTTTAACAGCTAAACGAAGATAAATTTATCCTCATTTAACAGCTAAACGAAGATAAATTTATCCTCATTTAACAGCTAAACGAAGATAAATTTATCTTCATTTAACAGCTAAACGAAGATAAATTTATCTTCATTTAACAGCTAAACGAGGATAAATTTATCTTCATTTAACAGCTAAACGAAGATAAATTTATCTTCATTTAACAGCTAAACGAAGATAAATTTATCCTCATTTAACAGCTAAACGAAGATAAATTTATCTTCATTTAACAGCTAAACGAGGATAAATTTATCTTCATTTAACAGCTAAACGAAGATAAATTTATCTTCATTTAACAGCTAAACGAAGATAAATTTATCCTCATTTAACAGCTAAACGAAGATAAATTTATCCTCATTTAACAGCTAAACGAAGATAAATTTATCTTCATTTAACAGCTAAACGAAGATAAATTTATCCTCATTTAACAGCTAAACGAAGATAAATTTATCTTCATTTAACAGCTAAACGAAGATAAATTTATCTTCATTTAACAGCTAAACGAGGATAAATTTATCTTCATTTAACAGCTAAACGAAGATAAATTTATCCTCATTTAACAGCTAAACGAAGATAAATTTATCCTCATTTAACAGCTAAACGAAGATAAATTTATCTTCATTTAACAGCTAAATGAGGATAAATTTATCTTCATTTAACAGCTAAACGAAGATAAATTTATCTTCATTTAACAGCTAAACGAAGATAAATTTATCTTCATTTAACAGCTAAACGAAGATAAATTTATCTTCATTTAACAGCTAAATGAGGATAAATTTATCTTCATTTAACAGCTAAACGAAGATAAATTTATCCTCATTTAGCTGTTAAATGAAGATAAATTTAACCTCATTAAACTGTGTAAATGAAGATACCGAAAAACGAAGGCGACCACGTACGGTGAACTCGTCTTCTTCTTCTTCGTCGTAGCCATTTCAAAGAAAATTCAAAACGCGTTATAAAAGGAAAAATTAACAGATTATGGACAACGTAACCGCGAGTGACGATGTCGAATCGAAGAGTGATCTTAAATCTGGTGCTGGCCGCGCGTGTACCATATATGTTGTTTGTGCCCAGACTTTGTATATACTATTAGACAGAGCTCTAGCTGTTTACAAACAACGGACGCATTGCCCGCGCTCGGCTATTGTTCTCTTTGTTCTCTCTTTGGTTATAGCTAGTCTGCAG